ATTACTATAACTTACCCTACGGGAAGTTAAAAATGCCATTTGGCGGTCAAAAATGATCAATAGACATATGCACATCAATTTATCTGATATTTTATAGAGATTTTAACAGAAGGTATAAATTTTCTTCACATTCCTATCGGTTCCGTACCAATGTTTATCTGTTAGACGGCGACGGGGCGCTCACGCGCTTCGAGAAAAAAACTAAATATTGAAAAATTTCAAATATTTCTTACAAAAATTTGAGAATATTTCGAAATTTTCAAAAAAAATCGAATATTTTCAAAAATTTACAAATTCTTAAAAAATCTAGAAATTTTTTTTTATTTCCAAAAAACTTCAAACTTCTAAAAAATTTCAAAATTTGGAAAAAAAATCTAAATTATCAAAAAAATCAATTTAAAAAAAAAAAAAATTTCTTATAAACATCTCGAATATTTAATTACGGAACGGGAAGTTCTAGCAATTTGCCTCAAGGCACGATGCCATGCACCCCACTAGTTTGTTCCCATATAAGACCACCATCTTGGCTCTTATCTTTTCATTTTTCTATTTTCCCATCAATCGCATCTTGAAGAAGACTCTCTTTTCTCAATATTTGTTCAAATCAGTTTTTTTTAGGTAGGAAATTTGTTTTTCAATACATAATTTTCTTAATATTGGTAGACAATTCTTGTTGCCTTCTTCAGAATCCACATCTCTGATCCATGAAGTTTCAGTTTGCTTTTGAGTAAGTTCTCTTTTTATCTTCTATTCAGCTCGATAATAGAATACTCTTTTCTTATCTTGTTGAATTTTGATTTTGCTCGTCAGTAGAGTTATATTTTTATCTTCTTGGTATGTAAGCAATTTGTTCAAAACCTCCTTTTCCTCGTACTCAGATTATTTGTTCCTCTTGAGAGTCTTCTTATAATCTTATATGTTGCTATTTAATTTGTAATTTAAAAGAGTTATTTTTCGCTTTAACTCTACTCAATCTATTTTCTCATCATCATTTTGTCAATGTTGATATATCATCTTCCAATTTTCAACCTATTCTTAGACAATCTTTTCAACTTAGCTCCTTGCTAAGATACGAATAGTGTTATCAAAATATAAATTTTTAAAAGTATTTCAAGAAAAAATCAAGCAAATAGTAATAATTGAATCCAATTGGCGTTACTTTTAGCTTGTAGTAATATAGGATAGCAAGCTTATTCAAGAATTCGCTTAAGAATTTTGAGAATGACATGGTGAACACCTTTTTTGTCCCACACAAATATATGATGGTCGCTAAACAATGAACACATATGTATACACAGGTGTAGAGGATAAAAAATAGAAGCTGGTGAAAAATCTACTATTTTATTATATTTTGTTTTAAAATATATACTGCATACTTTAGTCAAAAAAGCAAAAAAAAGGAACCATGGAAAAATATTACATCATTTATTTAACAAAATTATATATTATATTGAACCCTTTAAAATGATTTATTAATTAAATTATTTTTATTAGCAAATAACAAACAAAGAAACTTCTCAGTTTGTTATTTGGTAATAAAAATAATTTTATTAATAGAAAACCTGAAATCCCCAACAGTTCGATAACGTGAAAGAAATAACAGAAAACATTTTTGTCCTATTTAAATTACTTCTATAGAAAGGATGAATTAAATATGTTTAATTCTTTTTTTAAACTAGATACATACATCTTAACAATTTTAAAAGCATATATATTAGGTAAACAAAAAATGAAATATAAGAAAATATTTTATCGTTTGAATAAGCGTCCTATCAGATCTCGTATTTATCACAAATACAAATAAAGTAAAAAATTGCATCAAGAATCGAAGGCACGACAGACGACCATCGCTAAATGGAAATGATGTAATATATATAATTGTTTATTTATAATAATTCAATAATAATATAATCGATAAGTAATTAACTAATGAGCTGAAACGAAATGCTATAATGTTTCTAGTTAAATTTCAAACTGTAATAATGTGAGAAATAATATTAGTTATAAAAAATAATACAGAACATTTGAGTTAAATTTAACTTTGGTGTCGAATTCTTAGTACAAAACAAAAAAATTAATTTTCAAACTAATTTACTTTTTTAGTTAATTTACTTTCGTTCATTCCACAATATGTTCAAATTTTGAAAAGTCCAATATTTTTACTATATTTTTGATTATGCAAATATGGATATAGAAAAATATATTGCTAAATAACAGTCTATAAATAATCATATTATTATTATTTATTTTTTAAATTATTATTGATCATACAACATAATGGATCTGTTCTTAAGATCGTTTTGAATTTATATTGGTACAATTTTTTTTACCTAATTATGTAACCGCAATAGTAAGTAATTTTAATATAGTAAGTAATTTATTTACATAGAAAAATACATTGCCATGGCACTGGAAGTTACTATAATATGACAAATCTTACAAACTAAATAAATATATTTAAATCAACAAGTATTTAGTGAATAATACCTTATCTAAATACAAACAAAAAGTGAATATATTTGTTGCTTTTTTTTTAAATTAGTATCAAATTCACAAAAGAACATGAAATTAGGATATTCCTTAAGTTATCCTGAAGAAGTTTTAAAAATCAATCTATAGGCACGGAAGATAAACCATCTCAAAACATCTTTTGTTTGTATACAAACTTAACAACCTTCAATAAATTCTAATTCTGGGGGTGGTGATGTTATTAATATTAATAATATAAATTAATGAATCATTTATAATGATCATTATTTCTTGTTTATATATTTTTCTAACACTAATTAGGTGTCATCAGTTTGGGCCAAAAGTAAGAGAATAACCAGAATATTACTATTGTTCAGACTTGTGGTCAGATTATGAAGAATTAATTTATTACAAAATTATTTTTTTACTTTTGCATTAGTTGTCCAAGCAACTTATGGAATTTAAAAGATGCACTAACAACTTGTTTCTAAGTCTTCTTCTAAGATGCAACACTTAGTAATGGTGCATGGTGCATGGTGCATTGACCTTCTTAAGAAGATGCACGTGGTTGTGGATTTTTAATAAATAATAATCTTGACACAGGTGTTAGGAGTCATATTTGAGGAAAATTTGTAAAATGTAATAATTGAAATATTAATAAAAGAAGCTGATAGTAAAATATTTAATGGTAAACAATAGTGCTTTTATATAAGCTTACATTGAATGAACAACTAAGCAAGGTTTCATTTTATTTTATTAATGGGCACAACTAGTGTGAAATTTTCAAAAAATCGAATTTTCAATTTTTCCATATTTCGATAGGTTATACCTTTAAAAATAACATACCAAAATTTCATATCGATATCTTGAATAGTTTTTGAGTCACCATTTAAAGAGTATATATACAGTATATAGTATAACGATCATTGTATCTTTAAACGCCTAACTTTAAATATTTAATTTTTCTCTTCAAAAATTGTACTATGTATTCTTAAAACATGTATAAATATATTCCTAAAATTTTGAAATATAAATTTCCAAAAATCACCTTTTTTTAGGCGGTTACACTAGTTGTGCCCCTTAAGTCTTTAAAGAGCGATTTAAGTCCATTTAAGTCTAATAAACAGCCTGATATATTATAATCCTACAAAAAGTGGTTTAATTTTAGAAACTAGTGGTGCATAGCATCGTGCCTTAAGGCAAATTTCTTGAATTTCCCGTAAATATTCGAACACAAAAATTAATAATTAAGAAATATTTATCAATGATTAATAACAATTATTTTAAACATTTTCAAAGACAAAATTAATATTACTGTATATTTATTCGTTCATATACCATCTTATCGCCCAAAACACTTGAAAATGTTTACGTTAAAAGAGCTGCCAAATGAATCCAACTGAGGATATATATCTTATGAGTAAAATAACGCATACGGAATATATACTGATTTGTAAATTTAAAATTTATGTATTTTTACATACATATTTTTGAAAATTTTGAAATTTGTTTGAACCGTATAGGCGAACTTAAATAATTAAAAATCTTGGTACGGAACCCAAAATAAATAGTAACAAAATTAGTACTCATTTTTAAAATCTCTATAAGATATCTGATAAGTTGATGTGCATATGTCCAATGATCATTTTTGACCGCAAAATATCAATATTTTTTACATTTTCCTCTGTATCTCCGAAACCGCTAGACCTGCCTTACCGAAAATTTTACCAATTGTTCATATCACGAATATAAGTAACATGTTTTTGGAATCATTCAAATCGGGTACTCCGTTCTCTCAAAAACTGAATACCGTTTTTGGCACTTTTTGCCCCGTATCTCCGAAACAGCTAAATCTGCCTTTGCCAAAAACTAATCAGCACGTCTCCCTATCAATAGAAATCGAATGTTTTTTGAATCATTTGAATCGGTTGATCCGTGCGCCCGAAATCGTGGACGAAAAATTGTATCCAAACATACACACACACACACATACATCAAATGTTCAGAAACCTTTGAAACGTAAATTTATGCAAAAATTTTCATTGTCGATTTTTTTGCGATTACTACAACTTACCCTACAGGAATTTAATTAATTAAAGTTTGTTTAGAATAACTCCCTTAGGACATACACTGTGTATTTCAACTATTTGTCAAATATTACTAATATGTTCGGTAAATTTATGCAAAATTAAATAATCTGCAATAGTTTCTAACATTATCAATTGAATTTATTGTAATATACTTTTTATTGAAAATTTTAACACACATCTAGTGTAAAATATAGTTGAAAAATTATATAAAAACCTCTATCTACCAAAATTGACTTTGATCAAACATTATAACTATAAATAAACACTTCCCTCGATGTTTATTCCCAAAAATTTTGAGTATTTAATAAGTAAATATAAATATACTTTCAAATCCTTGTGTCTTTTACAATTTCGAATCTCGCGCCTCGTCGTCCATCTTGCCCGTCACGTGACCGACGCGTCCGCCATTTTTGTTATGAAGTCGCCTAACGCTGCACACACCGCGTACAAGTTCCCGACCGGTCGCTTCGCAAAACGGATTCTAATTAAAATTTAGTGTTTTAAAGCAAGTGTTACGTGTTCTTGTGAGTGTTTATTGTGTGCAAAAATCGCGCCGAGATGTCCGACAATAAAGGAGAGAACGCCACATCGGTAAATGTTTGTAAAAATTAAGAAAAACAGCAAAAAACACAATCACATGCCCCCATGTTTAAGTCGGGTTGAGGTAACATAAAGGAAAAGACCGTAAAAGAAAAGACTAGGATTTTATTATTGTTTTAGGCGTGGAAAATTATGTTGGTTTGGTATAAATTTGCATTTCACGGGTATCTATTTTTTTAGCTAAATGTCCTTCAATAATTCCATTATCAATAAATGTGTTTGGGAGTGAGATTCGACATACGTCTCGTACGAATTTATGAGCGTCTCTTGTAAGTTACGAAGAGACGTGGGTCTGGGATTGTTCGGGACTTCGTGAGCGGTTTCAACTAAAATGGAGGGAAAACAAGTTGATTGTCAATGTTGTTTTTTAGAAACTAATATTACTGACAGTAACAGGAAAAATGAACTAGGAGAATATTTAAATTGTAATACATATGGTAATATATAATTTGTGGTACAGGTTAATTTTATTTGGAGTAAACAACAAAGTTTTTTTTATAAGTGTGCGGACTAACCTGCTAAGATTCATATTTATATATGTACAATATATTTTGTACTTGTAATATTTTCAAAACTTCAAAATATGTGTACAAATGTATTGTTTACATTTCTACACATAAATAAATATTCAAAAACTTATAATATTAGTCTCATGCGTTTTTCCTACACTGTGAAAAATTGTAACTTTTTTTTATAATCAATTAATGATTTATTATTATTTATTTCATACAATTTATACTCCAAAAGTTCCCAAATATGTAAAATAACGTTTACCGGGTTACCCAGACACGTTTTGTATTAATAACATAAGATTTTTACTAACAATATAAGTTACTCTAAATTTCAACTTATTTTTAGGTTATAATTTTCAAAAAACCGTATTATTCTCTTAATTATATATAAAATCTACTATGATTACTCTAATCACATTATAAAACTTGTGTCCGATGATAAATACTAAAATATGCATATATTAATAGTACACTATAAAATTCTACTGGTTAATTTATAACATTTTTTTTTAAACCGACAAATGATTTATTATTATTTATTTCATACATTTTATACTCTATGTTCCCAAATATGTAAAATAATGTTTACCGGGTTACCCAGGCATGCTTTGTATTAATAATATAAGTATTTTTACTAATAATATAAGTTACTTAAAATTTCAACTCATTTTTAGGTTATAATTTTCCAACAAAGCATATAAACCTTTCAATTTAAATAAAATTAGCTATAATTACTCTCGTCACAATGCAAAACTTGTGTCCGATGATAAATACTAAAATATGCATATATTAATAGTATAGTATAGCATATATTAATAGTACACAGTATAAAATTCTACTGGTTAATTTGTAACACTTTTTTTAAAACCAACAAATGATTTATTATTATTCATTTATCACAATTAATACTCTAAAAGTTCCCAAATATGTAAAATAACGTTTGTCGGGTTACCCAGACATGTTTTGTATTAATAATATTAAGTACTTTTACTAACAATATAAGTTACTTTAAATTTGAACATATTTTTAGGTTATAATTTTCAAAAAAACAATATAATACTTTTAATTTGAATAAAATTTGCTATCATTACTATCGTCACAATGCAAAACTTGTGTTCGATGATAAATTCTAAAATATGCATATATCAAGTCATCAAGTAATTAAAATTTAAGATTCATGAAAAAAACTCACGATTCATTGTGGAAAAGGATAGTTAAGGATTATTTTATTATTATTATTTGAGTTACGTTTGTTTTCTAGTCTTAAATATATATATATATATATATATATTTTATATAAATCACTACTCGATAAGCTTTTACATCTACATTTGTTGTTTTATTACAACTAGAATAAACATTAGAAAAAAGAATTCTTTTCTCAACTTAATCGATTTTTGGTACCAAATCAAAATTTTATTTGTCATAATTGTGATTTGCATTTTGAATTGACAAGGGGCATGTGATGTGATAATTCTAAAAAATGTGCTTTTGTTTTTTTAAATGTAATTTAGGTGTCAAATATTTTACAAAACTATTGTAAAATTATTGTTTTTCCTTTAATTTTCTCTAAAAAGATTTCTCTGAAATTACACGATGAGTAATAAGATGCTTGTAAAACCAAAAGTAATTCATTTCATATATATTTTATATAAAGTTTTTTCTGACTATATTAATTTTTGTGCAGGAATCACCGAAGGGCAAACCGGGCAGACGAAACAGAGCTTTACAAAGAATGAAAGAAGAGGGTGAAGCACTAATTAAGGTAAATGATAAAATATTAATACTTTAGCATAATAAAGCACTAATTAAAGTGTTTTATTATTACTACTTCAGCATAAAAAAAATAACATTCTAATGAAGTTTTTGTTTTTCGTTTCTAGTCTCTAGGTGGAACCCCTGAAATTGAAGGCAGAAGGCGTACTAGGTCTTCACTAAAAACGCCAGCAACACCCCCAGTTACGCCCCCAACTCCCACGAAAAAGGCAAAATCTACACCAGCACCCAAAGGCACAAAGGGACGCGGGAGGGGAAGAAAAAGTAAGAAATATGAAATGAAATATGAAAATAATAATAGTTATTAATTGTCCTCTATCCTTTACCCCAGGTGAAAAGGTGGAGGAGGCCGAAGAAAAGCAAGAATCAACAGAACAAGAAGACGAAGTAGACGAATCCAATGACACTTCACTAAATTCCACCTCCGAAGACAAGGCCCAAGTAGAACAAAATGATAAAACAGAAGAACCTTCAGAAGAAACCGCAAAAACTGATGAAACTGATAAATCCGAATCAAGTAATCAACCTGAAGAGGAACAAAAAGCAGTCGTTGAAAATTCAGCAGAAGAAAAATCAACAGACGATGCTGCTGCTGATAAAAAAGAACCAGAAGAGACAAAAATGGAAGTTGTCGAACAAGACGGTACCGACAGTATAGAAGACAAAACGGAGGAGGCTACTACTAAAAATGAGGTTACAACAAATGATACAACTACAAATGATGTTGTAGTAGAGAATAATGTGCAAGAGCATGTCGAACCAGTAGTAGTGGCACCGGCTGTTGAAAAAGCTTTAGATAATGTGAGCTAGGTTTTGTTTTTAGTTGTACTTATTGTTTCGGCTTTTGCATGGCTAATAGATGAATAAATATTTAATTTTATATAGGTCAATTTTTTTTAATTATTTTATCGTATATTTATTTTCAGGACAAAGAAATGTTAAACAATGACTTGGAAGAAGTACCTAAAGTAATAGAGAATTGTACGGGGAAAGACAATTGTGAAAAATCACCAGAAAAGACTTCTGAAGGCAAGTGTTGCATTGTTTAGTATGACTAACAAGATTTTATCTGTTTTTGTATAAATACTAATAAATATTTATGTATGTATGTTTGTTGTATGCATGTGGTAATAAATACATTTTATATATTGTTTCTAAATGCCAGAAAATTAGATTTTTTTTGTTTAGAGTTTGTAATATATGTAATTGTATTAAACTAACAAACTTATATCTGAAGTAGCATTAATTCAGTAGTGGGGTGTATGGCATTGTGCTTTAAGGCAAATTGCTGGAACTTCCCGTACCGTAATTAAACATTCGAGGAATGAAATTATCAATAATTGTTTTGAATAATTTCAAATAGAGTATTTATTATAAATACATACTGTAAACTTATAACTGAATATTTACAAGAAACTTGTTCATTTTTTGTTAATTTTATTTTTCTAATTATTTTAAAATTGTTTCAAAATTTAGTTTCTTTTTGAGAATGATGAAAAATTTCGAAAATTTGGGGTTTTTGTAACTTTCATTTTTTTTAAATTTGAAAAATTACAAATTTTTCTGTGAAAGCAATTTTTGCACACCATCTACTCAAGCAAAATGTTTTTTAAATTATTCGTTCTCTGAAAAACTAAATTACTATAACTTACCCTATGAGAAGAATATATCTTTTTTCCAAAGATTCAATTTAAAATTTCTCAAAAATTTACTTTTCCAGGAATTTACCTTAAAGCATGATGCCATACACCACTAGTTTATATATATATATATATATATATATATATATATTAACCAGGAGAACCTCGGGTTTACTCTTTTGGGATTTTGATGAAACTTTCATGGTAATAGGGTTTATTGCCAAACTGAACACCGTAAAATATTATAGGCCTATGGGAAGCGGTTTGATTACAAAAATTAATTGAAAGTTTTCAACCTTGGATTCATGATAAGAGTTAAAACGACATTTCTTCAATTGTAATCAGAACAAAATACAAAATGTAATATACACCTTAATACTTCCAAATAAACCTTGATGAATTTTTATAATTTGAACCACTTTTTATAGGCCTATAATATTTTAGGATGGTACTCTTGATTACGAGCTATATAACTAAGCTAAGTTTTATTAAAATACAAAGAGAAGAATTTAAAAAATTGACGATTTCAGAATTTGATTTTCTCTCGACGTTTTCTCACAAACTGCTGAACCGATTTTAAATATTTCAAAACTTTATAAATTATTTGATAAAACTTTGATAAATAAAACTTTAGAAATTATTTGTGCGACGATCAGCTGAGCCGTTTCTTTATAATTAGCAAGGTTATAAATTCAATTATAAATAATTGATTTTAGAAATCCATTTTCTTTTTTTTTTTCAATAGTTGTTTTTAATAGTACGGCCAGGAAATTTCTTTGTAATTAATTGTAATTATTTTAATAAATCTTTGCATAGCTTATGATGTAATTAAAATTCTTAAATGATTATAGGCCTACGAAAAATGTTCTATAATAAATTACAAAAATTCATTGAAGATTAGATAAATAGGTTGTTGTTCTCTTGGCTTAAACGTATTTTTTTTAAACCAGTGGTTTCCAATCTTTTCGAATGACTACCTTCTGTAATTTTGAAAAAATAATTCTGCACCCCCTTAATTTTTGTAACAATCTAATTTTATAAATACTCAATTGATCTTACAATTCATTTATCAGGCTACAAATTAATGTAAAATATTATAGTCCAGTCATTTAAGCTTAAATTAGGTAAGAATCTCGGAATTCGAGATACCCAGCTGTAAGTCTGTAAATATTTGTAAATTGACACCCTAAAGTTGTCTCAAAACCTACATATGGTATTGACATCCTAACATATGTAGGTTTTGAGACAACTTTAGGGTGTCAATATACAAGTATTTACAGACTTATAGGTGGGTATCTCAAATTCCGAAATTCTTACCTAATTTAAGCTTAATAAATGACTGGACTATTATGTTAAAAATATACATAAAAATAATTATTTAATCCATATGTTTCTAAACTTTTGTGCAACGCGCCCCCCCTGCTCTAATAAAAAGAATTTTTGCGCTTCCCTTAATTTTTTCAACAATTTATAAATAAATAAATTTAATTCAATAACTACTACACTTTTAACAACTAATAATATCAGACTACAAATTAATATGCAATATTATGTAAAAATATGTGTATAAACGAATTATTTTTTGTTTATTTTTTAATATCGTTCCAAAAATGTTGGGTTAATTTTTGATAATAGCATTGTGGCAACACTATTTTTTTTTTTTTTTTGAAATCAGTCGAACATCCCCCTTGTGCCCCATAGTTTGGAAAATACTGGTATAAACTATTTGAGGAAAATAATTAGCATGTTTGGAATATTTGTACCAAAATGAAATAGTTTCTTAGTTTATTATAACATATTTTTTAGTTTATTTATTAAAGTTTTTTTTTCCTCCAGTTTCAGAAGCGGTATCAAGGACAGAGCCAGTGGCGGCACAATAAGTAAAGACAATTCTAAGACAAGATCCCAGCAGTCCCCTTAAATGAGCCGACCTGATATCAAGCAGCTCATCTTTTACTTTTATTAGTTTTTAAACAATTGGACAAAATGTTTTATATATCATGCAATATTTAAATCATTATATTTTTTTATTTCTTAATGAATTATATGTTTGTATAAATAGTCTGCAATTAATTGATTATATATATATGTATATGAAGGGAGCACATATTTAATATATATCAAATCGACGGATGTGAGACTGTTTCGAGATTATTTTCAAAACTGAATTATTATTGGATATGGCAACAAATAGGTCTATAATTTATTATGTATGTAAGATTTTCTGAACGCGTATATATTATATAAAGGTGATATATGCAGTATGTACTATATATATATAGATATGTAACAAATATGTACAAGAGTTTTTAGTTTTCAAAAACGAAAGGAAGTCATCGATATTAGTTCAAATTACTTATCGAAGCAAGATTTATTATTTAAATTTGTCAGTGGCTAAAGAAGAATACATTACATAGTCTTAATTTTGTAGGTCCGTAACTTTAATATTCCCCAAAATATAATATAATATAGTTCTAAAAAACAATTAGTTTTAACACATTGCAATTTCCAAATTGTGTAAAGCTACTTTGTCGAGTTATATGGATATATAAATACGTGTGTAACTGGATGATGTATTTACTTTATAAGAATTTTTAACATGTAAAATAAATTTGTGTTTTATCAACATTCTTTCTCCTTTCTTTTCTTTTGGAGTCTGATGGCCCACTGATCGATGTACATGTTCGGTTCCATTTTTTTGGGGGTTGTGATTATTCTGTCGACCCGGTAAGGGTCGATTATAAACAAGTCTGATCTGCATTCTATGGGCAATTCAAGTCGTGAGGTCTTTTTTGCAGTTGATGGCATGTTTGAGGCTTTTAGTTCGCTCTCGCAATATTTACACCCGTCATATGCTGCCAACTGACATTATATGGGATTAAAATAAATATATGCATATACAGAGGTACTACGACTTACAAGTATTTCGAAATAGGAATCGTTGAATGTGCGATTCGTTGTTTTGATAAACGAGTAAAATTCGAGATATGAGCTTTGAGGGAGTAAGAATTTTTTTTTAGAAAAACGTTTATGACAAAATGTAAATATAATAAACTATATCTTTTGTAAAAGGGTGCTTTATTGCATATCATTCTATAGTTAGTCATTTTAATTATATATTAATATTAATTGTGTAGCAACAATTTACCTATTCAAATATACCGAAGATTATTTTAGCGATTAAATTTTAACTTAATTAATAGTGAATGTATAATAATATATGTTGAGTTCGCGTTTTTTGCTTTTTGAGCATTTACGACATATTATTTACTTAGATAAAGATGGGTTTGAAGAAAAAGGTAATGTCTTTTGAAATAAAGCGTAAAATTATTAAAAATAAATATAAAGATAGTGAGGGTGTGTACTAGAAATATGTACTGTGTTTAAACATAATGAGTTGACAAAAAGTATAACTACCATGATAAACTTCAATTTTTTCAGGTAAATGAAAAGACTATCCCAGAACGCAATAAAAAGCCGGAACGGGATGATAATATGGATCGTAACCATCATGAAAAGTTTTCTTTCCCAAGTAGTTTCAAAATCATGAGTTTTTAAATAAAATCGAAAATGAAAATCTTCACGTTTCAAAGGTTTCTGAACATTTTGGCATACCTCAGTAAAAATTGATTCGTGTGGGTGTGTATGTATGTATGGATACACTTTTTGGTCCACGTTTTTGGACGCACTGATCAACCGATTTGAATGATTTAAAAAACATTCGATCCCTATTGACAGGGAGATGTGCTGATTAGTTTTTGACAAAGACAAGTCCAGCCGTTTCGGAGATACCGAGCTAAATTTGCAAAAAGTTGCAGTTTTTAAGAGAACTAAGCATCCGATTTAAATGAATCAAAAAACATTCGGATTGTTTTGACAAAATAATTGCTTTTGGAAAAAAAATATTTCAATTTTTTTGTTCAAAAATTAATAATAGTTCTAGGAGAACAGTCAAATTTAAGGACACAGTTGCACCAAGATTCGTGTATTTTTAAGTAAATTGTTTATTATGAAATTTTCGAGTATTTGACCATTTATACAATCCTGATTAATCCACACTTCAGTACATTATTTTTAAAAGAGAGTCTCTCAATTATATATTGTTATAGAAAACTTGGGGCAATTGTGTCATTATATTTGACTGTGGTCTTAAAAATGTTATTCATGGTTCAAAGTTTAAATGAACAAAAATCATAAAAATTAACCACAATAATCGAAGAAGGATAACATTTTTACCAAAGCTCTAAAGTGCACCCAAAAGTTCAATCTTTAAACTGCATGAAATAAATTTTGCTTTTTAATTTTTCATGATAGTTACAATCAATGCCCAGACAGCCAGTTTTGGCCTGTTGATGAGTTCTGGGATACCCTGTGTATATAAACGTGTAATTTCTTATAATATAATATGGGGTGGCCTATTTAAAAATTGGAATTTATCGATAGCAACTTGCCTGTAGGCCAGACCGTGCGGAATTCGAAGTTGCGATATATGGAAAAAGAACTAAGAATTTTGAGAGCTTTCTAACGGTGTATAAGACTTTATATGTTTTCTTTAGAGAAATATCGAATCGTGAGGAGTGTTGCTCTAACCTAACCGCACTTTGCATTTTGACTAGTTAACAACTACACAGATTGCTCTATAACATCTAAACCGTAAAAGATAAGAAAAAACTTTGTTCGTACGAAAGATGCAGAATAAAATTACGAATAAAACGGTATATAAATTGTTAAGTGTGTTCATATAATTTTCTCGAGATTTTCCAGTTTTTCTTAAATTTTTGCATTGCAACTTGCCTGTGGGCCACACCGTGCGGAATTCGAAGTTGCGATATATGGGAAAAAAACTAAAAATTTTGAAACCTTTCTAACGATGTATAATACTTTATATGTTTTCTTTACAGAAATATCTAAACTGTAAGATTACTAGATCACTAGGACCACTAGATGGACCACCCTATACTATACTTAATTTTATTTATATATTCATTATTATTATTAATGAATTATTACCGCAGCTTTATCCATGCCCTTTTTTTTCATTTCGGTAAACGCTCGAATCCATGGACGATCGACTGGTGTCGAAGGTGCCGTGCACACGTTCACTCGTTCAACTATACATTCATACCAATATACATACATACATAGGAATATATATATATATATATATATATATATATATATATATATATATATATATATATATATATATATTTAAAATATATTTTAAATATAAACCTGCATTCTCCTCCGCCTGCACCATCATGCCCTTCAGGCGGGGCGTCGAGTCCACCAGCTCCCAAAACGCCTTGCATTTCGCCCTGATGTTCGCACTGTCTCGGCCAGCGGGGGTGAAGTCGATCAACTGGAAAATAATTGAAAAAACAATTAGATGATATGAAAATAAATAAAGCTTAAAGATAAATAAATATCCTTAATAATCGACTTAATCAATTATTCATGAGATTCAGATATTTACAAAATCCTGAAGCAAATATTAAAGGTTCTTCGTTACATTGACGTGGATAATTAACAAAAACACGTGCATACCTACAATTCTAAAACAAATAACAGTGGTGGCCACTAAATAAAAAGACAGAATAGACGTCCATCCTAATGAATTAACCAGTCAAGTCTATCTGGAAGGCCAGCCGACCAGACTTAAAATGAAAATACCTGTAGAGTGTAGACCTAATATAGGCGAATGAACTTTAATACTTTCATTTTGCTATATTTCATTAAAGTAAAACTTCTTTAGGCGCGACATCGGCGTAAATCCGTACATATGCAACGGAAATTGTTACGCCAAGCTGAAGTGAGAGTCATTCGCTCTCGATGATATGATTTCTATACGGGTCGATTCTGATGCGTGACTTTATACGTGCGTGCGTCACCGAAAGCATGAAGCATATTGTTCAAATTTCCGGTGTTATGGCAAAACTTTTCAAGGTTAAATAGTAGTATAAATTATGAGTTAATAAAAATGTCAGGATCGGAAGAATATTTTATCCAGTCCCCCATAAATAATTGTAGTGCAAATAATCGCAAATAATGAAACAAAGGAAAAATCTGCGCTGCGTAAGAAATGTAAGTTTATTGAAGTAATTTGTATTATTCGAGTTTTTCGAGGTTACTATATACCTACTTTGAGCTTATTACTAAAATGGCAAATATTTTTGCAAAAGACAGATACAAAAGAAAAAAGAAAATGTATCACCAGCGAAATAGTCAAAACAAACAAGCAGTCAATAATGAAGTTCTACAAACACAATTACATGATAAGTGAAATTGTGGAAACAATATTTCTTCATTGGAAATTTAACGTAAGTTTACATGTTGCTCTTTTATGATGGCTATGAGGAATAATTTTAATTTATTATAATAATAATTATAAATATTGATGCAGGTTTAAAGCCTCTTACAAACTCTGAACGATCAAGATTACATCGTCAAACAAAACAACTTCAGGAAAATAATCGGTTACTGCCAATTTATTAGAAAATCTTGAGTCAGAGGTATCAATTTAGATGTTAATGTCAACACCATTGACATAAGTAAGAATCGAAAAACGCTACAACTATTCACATTTAAACATATTATTCTGTTATATTTTTAGATAAAAGTACTGCTGTTACTTTTTCGTATTCAGCCACTACATCACGTCAATTGCAAATTGATGGCGATTCTGCATATAATGTGACTAATAATGTGACAAGAACTGATCTTTTGCAAGAGTCAAATAAAGTATTTGAACTTCCATATAAAGACTTCAATTTGTTTAGGAATGCACGAAAATTGTTTGAAAAACAATTTACAAATGATAGCTTTGGCCATGTATGCTTTGTGTGTGATTGACTTTAGTTTCAAAGTGACTTAAAAATAATAAATTCTTAATAATGGTTTTCTGAATATTGATTCAAATAATCTGGTTGGATGACAAGCTTGTCGAAAGGCATTAAATTCGGGTAAAATTCCCACTTTGTGTAAATTTAACGGGTTTGTATTTCCACCTATACCAAATTATCTACC